TAACTGGGATGTCTTCTAATATGCCAATGGGATATTTGACAGATCTATCGGCTATGAAGAGACATCTTAGTAGGTTGCAATTCTCGTAAGTTCAATCTTTCACAAACTGCTAGAGGAATTAGGCTAACGCTAGCTCCTAAATACAGAAATGCCTTATCGATCACATGGTCCCCTAATATACAAGGTATGGAAAATTTTTCCAGGGTCTTTCTCTTTCTTGGAAAATCTGTTTTCAGAGATAGAATTGCATTCTAAGGGTTTGAGATTGTCAAGTCTTCGTTTGTTGGTCAGGATGTCTTTAAGGAATTTTGCATATGATGGTATTTGGGTGATGGCTTCGGTAAAAGGAATCTGTACATTAAGTTTCTTTATTATATTTAAGAATTTTTGATACTGGTTATTGATTTTGGTTTGATTTAGTCTTTGCGGATACGGTATCATAGGTTTGTATGGTGGAGGTGGTACATAATCTTTGTCTCTAGTCTCTTCCTTATCTCGGTCTTTATCCTTTTCGGGTTCCACTTGTTTTTCTACTCCACTTTCCTTAGGAATTTTAGATTCACTCAAGGTTGGGTTAAAAGGTTCATCGTAAGCAGTCCCACTTTGTAAGGTAATTGCATTGGCCTGACCTCTAGGGTTTGGTTGAGGTTGTCCAGGAAATTGTCCTCCGGGCACAGTCTGGGAAGCTTGTGTTTGGGATACTTGCGAGATTTGGGTTTCAAGCATCTTGTTATGAGTTACTATCTGGTCAACCTTAGTTCCTAATTGTGTGATCAATTCATTTACATGAATGTCTTGGTTAATGAATTCTTTGTTTTGTTGGTTTTGGGGGCACAACCTGCATAGGTTGATTTGGTCTTAGAGCTTGAAAACCCGGTGGTCTTGGGGGTGCAGAGTTTTGGATAGGGTTATTGTTCTTATAGGAGAAGTTTAGGTGATTCCTCCATCCAGGGTTATAAGTGTTCGAAAAGGGGTTTCCTTGGGTGTAGTTGATTTGTTCAATGGCTATTTTGTTCAACAGGTTGCATTCTGCTGATTGGTGTCCTTGGGTTCCACATATCTCACATTCTTGGGTGACTGCTGCTACAGTGGCTAGGGTATTAGACATTTGCTCAACTTTTAGGGCTAGAGCATCCATTTTGGCTTGTATCATGTCCAAAGAGCTTATCTCATGTATTCCTCCTTGGGGCTCCTTCTTCTCCACTGTTGCTCACTCTATTCCCCATTGGAAATGGTTTTGAGCCATATCTTTAATGAGAGCGCAAGCTTCAGGGTAAGGTTTGTTCATCAGAGCGCCGCTGACGGCAATATCAATGGTCATCTTGGTGTTATATTGGAGTCCATTATAGAAGGTATGTATGATCATCCATTATTCTAGGCCATGGTGGGGGCAAACTCTTAATAATTCCTTATACCTTTCCCAGGCCTCAAACAATGATTCTCCTTGGACTTGAGTAAATCTAGTTATTTGATTTCTAAGAATGACAATCTTACTAGGGGAAATATCTGGCAAGGAACACTCTCCTAAGGTCTTCCCAAGTTGTTATTGAATTGGCTAGAAGGGAATCTAACCAGCAACGAGCTTTATCTCTGAGGGAGAAAGGAAATAGTCTTAAATGAATCGCCTCGGATGTAGCACCGCTGGTTTTAAAGATATCGGCTAGTTGAATGAAGATTTTCAAATGTTGATTTGGGTTCTTCGTAGCAAGACCCGCAAATTGATTTTGTTGTACTGGTTGTAATAAAGAGGGTTTTAGTTCGAAATTGTTGGCAGGAATAGCATGGTTTACTATACTAGAACTACGTTCTTCGTTGGAGGGTTGGGCGAATTCCTTAAGGGGTCTTTGGTCACGATTTTCGGCCATAACTTTCCTAACTCTTTGGAGTAAGAGGCAAGCACGAGCTTAACATTCAGGTTCCGTTAAAGGGTTTAATAAACTCCTGGTATTGCGAGATTTTCTCATTGTCCGACTAGTTAAGCCTTAGTCTAGACGGTGTAACAACAAGGTACAAAATTTGACGTAATTGTCCCCAGCAACAGCGCCAAAAACTTGATGCGTGATTTTCGCAAGTATACGAATCGCGTCAATCTATCAAATTCTATTGTCACTATGTTTATCTAAGGCATATCAAATCAGGGTTTTATAGCAGGCAGAGTAAATAAAGTAAAAGATGTCAATTCAGATAAAAGCAACGGGTTCGAATGCAAATTACAATAGTCAGATAAAAACAAATGATGATTCTGGTGCGTCCATTTAAACCAGCACAAAGCCTCTTCTTTCATATAAAAAGACATCATACCAAGTCTATTTTAGGGTGGTAATTGGTAGAAATCAAAGAACTGTTCATCTTGGAAAAGCCATTCTAATGAGTTTGACCTATCAAACATTGCGAGTTCCAACTTTGGTGTATGAAATGAGGGTAAAGGAGTGAGTTAGGGATCTGGTTGTATGGAATGTGTTGGCCAAAAGGGAGTGATATGTTTTGGGAAGGTGAAAACCCAGCGGTCAGGAAGGGTATGAAGACAGTTTGGGCAGATGTGAATGATGGCATGGATGAGGTGTACGGAAAAAAAGGTAGCGACTGAGTGGTTTGTGGCACCATCATGCGATGTGACGGTGGAATAGATGTGTGTAATGGTGAATGTGTAAAAATGGGTTGAGTTCTGGTGGGGGTATGTACGAGGGTAATAATATGGGAAAGGGTCGATGAGTTCATAGGTGAAGATGAAATGGTTTTGGGTATACCTGGTGACGAAGCTACTGTGTGAGTAGAAACAATGGTTTGGTGTGATTGTTGAGAAACCAGCTTGGTCAAGATGGACATCATAGAATTATACCATGCATCTGCCACTTCTTTGTCTTTGTCCATACGACTGTTGAGTTGTTCTAGATCTGAAGCGGCAAAGGTGAAGCGTTCGTCAAGCTGACACCGAGTTTCTTGTAAGGCGTTATCGAGGTGGAGACTGAATGTTTGGACTGCGATTTGAATAGCTTCATCAATGAGTTATTTGGATGAAGGGTTAGGGGATTTTGAGGGAGCCATGAGAACAATAGATGAAAACACCAAATTAATAGAGAGGAATTATAAACTATTACCAAATCTAAAATAAACCATTGAACAAACACAAAACTAAGAATAAAAATAACTTCTCAATATTTTTCTAAGGTTTCTCAAAGACCTTCCAAGTTTTAAATACAAGATAATGTCCTAATGAATCAGTACAATGGGTTCAAGACACTTTAGGAAAAAAAAAAGTAAGTATTATAAATGAACCTTCCTAATCTAAGACATAATCCTCAAGTTTTTTGGGCTTGGTAGTATTTCGTTTGGGCCCTCTATCACTTTGATATTGAATAATTTACACTCATGTTTAAACAAATTACGAAAAGTGTAGTTTTCTTTTAAGAAATTTGATATTCAATTATATGATGGATTAATTCGAGGAAAATAATCTCACCGTTGATTAGCTAAGACACATTTAAAAGTAGATAAAATTAACTTGTTTAAGGAACATTGATAAGATGTTAATTTTAATGTGTCTTATTTACAAAGAATTTCAAATTAATAATAAATTTATAGAAATGTTCTATGATATTAATATTGTAAGAAAAATTATCGATTGAGATATAATAGAAAGATGAACATTATTTGAAAGCATCAACTTCTTGACACATGTTGATTGACACAAACATAATATAACAAATTAAAGACAGTAGAATAAGTAGCAATTCCATTCTCATCCAGCATATGAATAAGAATGAAATAATGTTCCTACTTTAGATATCCTAATTACAATCCAAATACCATATAGGCTTACACATAAAATTAAAAAGTACTAAGGTCCATCTCAATTTAAAAGTTGCCATAGAGAGAGATAAAAAGAGGAGATTGATAAATTGAAAGACATGGAGAGAGAGAGAGAGAGGGGGGAGAAACAGAGAAAGAGTGATATGATGAGATTCTCATTAATTCACCTATGTCCTAACCATGGTTGGTGAGCAAAGTGAAGTAACCTAAAGGGAACCCAAATATCTCCCAAGGTTACATGCAAGTGTTTTTGAGTTCTACACATTCCATTGATGTAGTGCTCAAAATGATGATGAAATGTACTACATATGCTATCCCTCCTAAATTGGGCTTAAACTCCCATAGTTTAGCCACAATGAATTTACATTAAGTAAACAAAAACATAGTTAGTTACATTCTTCTCTTACCCAAAGAGAAGATGGTCAATTTGTTGGTTGGTTAAACCTTTTTATATGAAAAATAATTTGATGAAACATGACTTATCCTAATTAACCCTAAAAACTAAGACTATATATATATTTATATATAGCTAAGATGTTACCATACAAAAAAGATGGGACATCCAAATGTCCATGATTGCTAAATTGCTAAATTCACCTCATCATCAAGAGAGGTGTGATTAGCAAGTGATTAAAGGGAATACCTATTTCTGCAAAACTAGCTAGCTATCTATTTGTTTGAATTTACAATTTTGAAAAACCAATCTTTATTACTTTCACTTTTTCCCTTCATGGGCTTAAGTTAATTAACAAGATGGGCTTTTACTTGGGCTTAGCTTTTCCATGGGCTAAGTTTTCCATTCTTTTTCCAACTTAAGCTATTTCCTATAGCTTTTGTTGGTGATTAAACATCTTTTGATTCTCTTCAAGGAACCAATGCAACTTTTTTTTCATGAACAAAAAAAAAAGAGGAAGGGAGTAATGCATGATGATGATTGATGAGTATGACTCTCCAAATTATATGGAGAGAAAACCTTTGGGCCCCTATGGAGGGCCTATGATGATGAAAAAGCCCAAATTCCAATGATGGGCTTTTTTTTCTTTGGTGTTAGTGAAAAGTGTGTGTGTGAGAAACACCATGGTTAGGCCAAAGGTTGATTGATGATATAAGAGACTTCAAGAAGCAATAACTTGGGGAAGTTTTGACATAGCTAGTTTTTTTTGAGATCATGATGTGAATATGATGAGTCTCTAACGATGAGGAATTGGAGCTTGAAGAGCCATTGTCACGCCTGTGGCACAGCAAAACACACTGTCAAAAATATTAGCGCCTCATTAATACATAACCAAATTGCATAATCTCATAAATTAGAAGTAAAAACAAAGGTTTTAAAAGCCATTCTTTTTAGCTAATCGCGAAACCGTCACGACAAAACGGTTTTAGAAGATGCTACCTAGGTTTTAAAAAACAGTCACGATCGTTTAAAAACTTTCACGATTCAGTCAATATAGATATTATAACACTAATTGTGACCGTCACGATATGAATTAACCTCAATTATTTTTTTATCTTAAAAGAATGAATTATCAGCTTTTTTTTCTATATCATTTTGTTATTCACCGTTATTCACCATTTTTATTATGAAAAGAGAAATTATAATTAATTCAAACAGCAACGACTACAACTAACAACAGACCAAATTCACAAAAAATTTTACATGACTGCAACACGATCGTTACTTAATACTTCATCTGTCCCAAATTATAAGAGAAAATCACTTTTAAGATTCATTGAATAATTAATGTATCTGACCTATATACATTAATTATTCAATAAATTTAAAAAGTGAATTTCTCTTATAATTTAGGATAGAAGGAGTACATTGCCAAAAACCTTAATTTAAAATTTATAAGAATATAGTTAGAAGTAAAAACCTGATGGCAAGGCAGCAGGAGAAGGAGCAAGAGAAATGGGTGTTCCATAATGCTGAGCATAACCACCAGTAGAAGCAATTGGAGAATATTGAAACACATGAGGTGGATAGTTAACCCCATAACCTTGCCCGGAAGTGTAGCCGCCGTTCGTTGCACCGCCGGTTCCTTCACCATATTGAAGATATGGATAGTAAGCTGCCGCAGCCGCAGCGCCACCGGTCATCATCCCTCCGGTTGGACCACTTCCATAAACTGGATACTGTGCTGCTGCTCCACCATACACACCATAATAGCTCTACATTTTCCAATCAAAATTAACATTAAAACATTATCAATTTATTTTATCACTAACTGAAATCATAATAACCATTAAAAATTCAACTCTCATAATAACGTTCAATTTATCAATATCGATGTAATATGTAATTTGAATTATTTGATACTAATATTTTTCATAATTTGAATTTTGGTAAATGATAAAATAATTTTTTGAGGACCACTAATAGAAACAAAGCATGCATGGGATAAAATAATTTAGGGTCTGAAAAAGGCTTTGAATGTATAGAAGACTGTGAAAGTATAGAGTCAGAAAAGAGTGGACCATAAAGTCAGAAACCTCACAGTATTTTATTTTGAATACAAGAAAGAGAAAAAGTGGAAAGAAATAGAAGAAAAACTTTGACTAGTGCTGTACACAATCATTTGGTTGTTATATGAAATTATCAATTATATGAAAAGTACTGATAAGGTCACCGACTTACCACGTTCACCACTTCACCCCCACATTCTGTAGGGTACAATAATGAGCTGTAGTGTAAAAAAGTTGGTGTCCACATTCATAAGCAATGTTTATGTTCATTTACCATTTTACCCTTTTGGTACCTATATTTGTGGGACATAGCCTATACTTTATGATTTCAATCTTAAATAACAACAATAAATATTTTAAGGAAATGCACTTCTTTTTATTTATATTTAAGATAAGAAGGAGTACTAGGATGCACTTAAATTGGGTATAAATAAAAAAACTTCAATATTAAAATTTATTATTTATTAGAGTACTTTTAAATAAAATTAATTGTAAAATTATCATATTTCTCCAACTCGAAATGTAAAATGAATTATTTAATAAAATAAAGAGTAAATTCAGTTATGTTTAATATTTTTAAGTCATGTTAAGTTAATTAATTTATTAAAATATATATTTTTAAAATATTCATAAAAGGTTATTTCTCTAAGTTATTTGGATATCGTTTAATATTCATAGGAGTAACTTTGAATCCAACATGTTGATAAAGTTAAAAAAAGTTCAAGCTATTTTATCCAAGCACTCTTGTATTCTTAAACATGTTATATAAAATAAAATAAAATATACAAGACTTAACTATAATCTTATTCTTTATATTTTAGTTTACACACACAATTTATTTTGTATATTAAAGTTTAACATTTTAGTTTACTTACGAAATTTATTTGTTCTTTCATATTTCTATTTGATTTTTTTTCATTCCCCAAGTGATATATTATCAATTATAATTGTAAATTTATAAAATGAAGATTCAAATTATTTTTATTTAATATATAGAAATTAATTTTCTAAAAAAGAGTAAGTTAAAATCTCATTATCAAAATTGTAATCAAATTAACATATTATTGGAAAGTAAAATCTAAACTAGCTTAATACCCAATATTTTATGTATAACATCATTTAATAATTATCTAATTAAGACTTATTATTGTGAAATTACATTTTATAAAAGTGATATTTATAATTTTGATAGTAATAAAAAAATCTAGGTCACAAAAAAAGAAGACCATTTTACCAATGACATATTATCAAATGTTTTTCACATCATTAATAAAAATAAAATGTTATAAAAACACAAGCTAAATTAGATTTTGAGAGAAAATTATGAAACTTGTAAAGTACCTAAAATCCCAATTTTAAAAATAAAAGAATAAAATTAGGTATTAGCAAACATAAAATGATCAGAATTTAAGCTTGAATTAATTAAATTTTGGTAAAAGTAAAATTAATTAAAATAATATTTGGAATAATATTGTCAAACAATAAATATGATAGAATTTTTTATTAAAATTTGTAAAATTAACAAAAATTAATTAAAAGACATTTTATGAAATTAAATAAATCAAGTTGTATTTTCAAAATAGAGGAAGTTGATATTTTCTTATTCTCTTTTCATCCTAGCCACGCATGTTCAAGATTAGATACTCCTATTTAGGTATCTAGATAAATACAAAGTTATCCAAAAAGAATAATTGAGGAATTATTAGCTTGAATTAATTTAAGTAAACATTTTATAGGAATATATTAAATATTTGAATGAGTGTAGTTGGATATTACTCTAAAGATGAAAAGGAAAATGTGTCGTAAAAGTCATGCTTGAAAACGCATCCTAGGTAAAAGGTATAAACATAACAGACAAGAGACAAAGTAAAAGTTAAAAGTACAAACCGTAGGGTAACTATAATCTGGCGAGTAGGAAGAGTACCTGAAAATATTGTTCAAACAATTACAATAAATCACTTCAACATATCAAAATGTAAACTTAATTTTTTTTTTAATAGACACAATAATGAGATATTCACACTATCTTTACTATTTTATATTTCGTAGTATTTAAACTTTTTATAGACTTATAAATATATAAGTGAGATATAACAAGCCATGAGAAAATATGAAAAAGCAATAAGAAAAAAAAACATGTGAAGCTATAATTATGAATTTAAGTTAAGTCAAACCAAATCCTAATTAAGAATGGATTAAATCAAAATTAAAATAATTCAACTGTTATGTTATACAAACAATTTTAATGACTTATTAAATAACAAATGAACCTAACAAAAACTAAAAATTAAAAGTTATAAAATTAAATTTAAAATATATAATTAATTTTAAAAAATATAACGGTTTAATTCTTTAATAAATAATTGACTTAAAAAAATTATCTTCAATTTGATTTAATTTTTGGACTGGATTGTACCTGCCCTAACAATAAATAGCAAAAGTGATGTAAACAATAGTTTATGTGATTTACAAGTATATATGCTGACCATGTTTTGTTGTTTTTCATAGAGAAAGAGAGAGAAAGATAATTGATGGGAAAAAGCTAGATAAAGGACCATGTACTAAGGTAGTTATTTTGTTTTATTATTTAAAAAGAATACTAGAAATGAACTGGCAAAGCATGCTAGGTTGGTGTTATAGTGATAAGCCTAGCTAGTATATTAAATTATATTCAATGGTTTTGTTGTTTATGAGTTGGCATTGCACGTTAAATTCTAACCTTATACTAGTACAAATGCAAATGGTTTTGTTTGATAAAGATGAAAATAAAAGTAGTATTAGTATATAGTGTGCAAGAAGCATATTGATAGAGTTTCATACCCATAAACATTATAAGGTATCCCTTGCTGGATAGCATAATGAGGGAAGGTTGCAGCTGAAGGAAAAGCTGATCCCACTCCTCCAAATCCTGTCTGGAAAGAACCCATTACCCTAAAGTTTCTTCCTCCTCCTCCTACATTTTTTTCATCATTACACCAAAATTCATCAATACCATTCAATATTTTTAGACAAAAAATAGTATATATAGAGTTCGAATGATGAAAGCATGCAGAGATATCTGATTGTTGGAACATGGTTTAAAATCGATAATTGTTGAAACATAATTTGAAACTGATAATATCGGTTCTAAAAAGTAATTTTGAATAAGTAATATAATCATTCATAATTGTTCGCATTTATAGTGTGATTTTATGTGTTTGATTCTTTAAAATAAATTTAAAAATACAAAAAAAAATATTATTTTTTCTTTTTTTATAACTTAATTAATATTTAAATTTTCATCTTTTAAAAATAAATAAATAGGATCTCGCAGATTTACCTATTTGTATAATCAGATGTTTTTAATACAAATATCAACTAAGTTGATTCTATTTAAATATTTAAATAATTAAAAATATAAAATGTAAAATATCCTTTAATTTGTCTTTGTATTTAGAGAAGCTAAATTTAGATATCAATATAAATTTTTTTCTGTTTAAATATTTGAAGAAAACTCAACTTTTTCTAATGGTGTTCTAGGAAAAAGGAAGAGTTTGAAATTGGATTTTGTAAGAACATATAATAAAGGAAAATGTAGGTTAAAAAAACAAAAACAAAAAAATCAATAAAGGGAATAAAAGTTGTAGAATAGACTCATTTAGTTTGATGCTTCTAAAACACACTTGTTTCATTTTATTTGTTTCCCAAAAAACATACACATGAAATAATGAAACTCTTTACACATGGATAAAACATTTTATAACTTTCCACTCTGGAAGAATATGCAACCTTAGCTGCCACTTAGCTGTGTGTCTTTCTTTCTCATCAAAGAATATTTTTACAACATAATTTAAGTTTCACTCAAACTTAAAAATAATTTGCAAGAGGAATATCCATTCACATTAATAGTAATAGACTAAAATATAAAGATTTAATGTATCTTTTAAGATCTTATACATCATATCAATAAATACACAAATAATTTCAATTTAAACTTAATTAGATAAGATAAGTTTATTAGGTCTATAATGAGTAATTTAGTTTGTATATGTGCAAATTTTCTTTATACATGCATTCCATAATAACTTACCATGCATATATTTTTTATGCATGTAAGTTCATCTATGAAATATTTTTAAAATAATATAAATTTTTTTATAGAGGAGTTAGTAAATAAATACATATTTTTATAGAATATTATTACCATGCTTTGGTGTTGAAGGCTTAGATCTTTGAACACCCAAAGAAGCAAGATTGCAATTAGCTCTTCTTCCATCAATTATAGGAGCAGCATCAACACAAGCTCTCATAGCAGCATCAGGTTCACGAAAAGTAACCTAAATTTAAAACAAACAAAAATTCACATTCAATATCAAACAAATTTTCTTAATAAAAGAAACTAAATAGTATTATCATATATACTTAAATACGCGAAATCTCTTAATTATTTTGCTACCTCAATCCATTGAGATATTTCAAGTGTATGGGTTCTTTTGTTACCATGATCCATTGAGATACACTCTTTGATTTCAACTAAATTATTTTTTGTATAAATTTTAAAAAAATTATAAACTTCATTTTAGACTTGAGATAATAAATCAAGAGTAATATATATGTAAAAAAAACATGATTATGATAAATATATTGAAATATAAATAGAAGAAAAAAAAAAGAAAAACATACAAATCCATAGCCTTTGGATCTTCCGGTGGCTTTATCAGTGATGACAACAGCTTCCAAGATCTCACCAAATTGTTCAAAATACTTCTTCATGGTTTCTTTCTGAGTTTCCCAAGCTAAACCTCCAACAAAAACCTTGGTGTATGTGGTGTCACCAAACTGTCCAGCCAAGTTAATTGGAGTCATCTTGATGAAGATCTTTGTAAATATTGAAATATTATCCTCTAGAGTTATAGCTAGCTATGACAAAACTTCCCAAAATGTTGTTTTTTTATGAGTCTATAGACAGATCTAGGTGATGGGGTTGGAGAATATGAAAAAAAGATACTAAATTTAGAAGGATCTTCTTCTCAAGGTTGTGGTTGGTGTGTTTGTGGAGATGAGTGGTTATGTGAATAGAAGAGAGACAATTAGGTCAGAGAGAGAGAGAGAAAGAATTGGGAGGGAAGAGAAAGCAAAAGATGGAAAAAAGAAAGGAAAGAAGGTTACATAATAAGGACATGAATTATATACATAGCAGCCCCCACCCCACCATGTTTGCATTATTCTATATATATATATATATATATATATATATATATATATATATATATATATATATTGATTTTGAAGAATCAAAACCACATACCAGGTAGGGTGAGATATGGTTCGCGCTTTTATTGGTTCGCGGTTCTATTGGTTCAATTTCATTATTAAGTGTAATCATTTTAAAGTGTTTTATATTCAAATTTCTATGTGATAGTACAACCGCATGCAATGGTGTGTAACTTTTTACATGTTCGTTTTGAATTCACTTTAGTTAATTAAGCCTCAATTTTCGACCAAATCAAAAGAAATGAGTACACCATGTTTGAAATTAGACCTAATGATATAGCATGTCTTATTGTCAATTTCTACTTCGTCTTAAAAAATATTTAATATATATATAGCTATATAGGTTTAAGGTGTTAGAACAAAATTTAGTTTTATATAATTTTTAGTTATGATGATAATAATATATATTTTATATGAAACAATTTTGTTTTCTAATACTTTTTTTAGGGTGTAAATATAATATTTGATTGATCTTGAATATTTATCTGGAAAAATCATTAGAATCTCTGTTGACATGTCTCTGATAATACTATTGCATCAATTTTTAAAGAAACATCAACAATTCTGATGAATGTTGAATGTTCGCTAGAAAATGATCTCCATGTGTTGACCAGAAACCAAGTTTATGCTTCAAAGATCAGAAATCAAGTTTATGCTTCAAAGATCAGAAATTAAGCTTATGCTTCAAAGATCATAAATCAAGCTTATGCTTCAAAGATCAGAAATTAAGTTTATGCTTCCAGCTCAAAAATCAAGACATGCTTCTCAGATATGCTTTTACTTCTAGCTCAGAAATCAAGATTTGTTTGTCAGATAAGTTATTGCTCCAAGTCTGAAGACAAGAGTCTGATTTTGAATACTCTGATACTTTTGGAAGCACTACTTTGAAACATCTTATGGATTACTCATTATTTCACACCAGAAACATTCTTGAAATTTTTGTTACAAACAAGACATGTTAATACTGATATCCCAACATCAAAACAATGTCAAGACATATGTTACAATATTTATTGACAAACTGAACAGATTTATAAAGTTGTGATTGATACTGAAATTAAATTGCAAAATGATAAATAACACATAATAGTTAATCCAGTTCAGTGCGACATCACCTACTCTGAGGATTACCAAGCCAGAAGGAAATTCACTATTAGTAGTATCAATTTAAAGCCTAAACAATCCCAGTTTACAACTTCTCACCATAGGAGCGAGACACATTCTTGTCCAGCTTTCTATCTTTTCAAGCTTTGACTGCTGAAAAAATTACAACATTTGAAATGACATTCTCCATATCATTAAAAATTATTCTTCTGAGATTGCGCACACCCCTAGGTGAATGAACATAGTTGGCAAACCGTCTAAACAATCACTACTATAATTATTCAGCAGTGCAAGTCCATAATTACGCTTCATAGTCTCAATCTAAGTTACACCTCAAGTTATGATGAAAATAGTTCTTAAAGATTCTCAGCCATACCAAGCTTATGAGTGTCAATATAAGCCTACAGCAAGATCCATGACACAATGATGATAAAATCAATGAATTTGTTCTGCAAGCAGAATAAAATCTGTACATTGATTGCAGTAGTATGTCACACTATAATATCATGATATTCAATTTGGCATTGTACTCTTTTAGTAATCAACCTAATTGAAAATACATCTTCCTTCAACAATGTACCTAATCTTAAAGATATACCAGGATTCAATTAATTCTAATCCAAGTGAGAAGAATATCCTCCAATAATACAATCTTCTTCAGACTTGACCAATAGCTTTTTACTATCATCATTATATATTTCATCTCTGAAACAACTGATGATCACAAACCAAAATTAACTCCAAATAATGAACTCCCTTTTAAACAAAATGTTGTTGTCTTGAGAGCTTTCTTCTTCAGTTCCTGTCAGCCCTTTAGATTCTTCCACAATGTTTGGAGTATCAAACTGTTGGGATGATGTTCCCACATCTGGTTGAACATCAGTATCTTTTTCAATGAATACATAACTGATTTCGGTCCTAAAGTTAACATCACTAAAAGTACTTCTCTCACTAGAGTAACTCAGAAACATACCTTGTTCTCATTCAAGGACTAGATAAGAACCTTTGAAGACTTCACAAATACTAGATTTTTCTTTGTTATAGATACAAAAGAAAAAAAATACATATATGTCTCTATCCTCCAGGACACTCACATTGTATTAGACTGAACAAATGCATAAAACAGGTTCTAGATATTTTGCAATTCTTTTATGTTACACCTTCTGGTGTGACATCTGAACTTCATCTTTCTTGAACAACAAGAAAAAGGCTAAGCAATTAAGTACTTGTTGAGTCCATAAATAGCAATTGTTAAATCCCCATAAGAAACCCATACATATCAATTATAGACAAAACATTCTTCCTTGATGACATGTACCATCAGACCTTGATCACCCAATTGAATTATGTTTAACACAATAGTCATCAGTCCTTTAGTAAGAAGACCACTTAACAAAACTTAAATACTCCATCTTGTATTCTTTAGATACCCAATGCCCTTAAACTTCCCTTTTAGCAGCAACGACAAAAGTAATCATTGATAGAATGAGACTAAACAAACCACCAGAAACCCTTTTACTGCGGTCAAGTGTCTGGAATTGTCAGTGCCAAAATACCAATCATCTTAGTTGAAGTTCTAAGAAAGGTATGATGAATAAGGCAATTATCACCTTCTTTGAGTTTTAACCCCTTCTTGGTTAACCCATGCCGAATTTTACCTTTGAGGAAGTACATAAAACTGGTAAGATCAACTTTTCACAGAAGATACATCTTCAGTGCAAGTATATGCCTTTAGCTTGAGTGTTCTGATGTCTAGCACACTGTTGAGACATTAAGATTGAAATCCTTGACTGAAATTTCCTTTTGATGAAAACAACCTTTTGTCATTTGAGATTTCTCTTTTCCAGTTATAGCTTGAAAATTATATCCCTTTTAGCCTTCCAATCATTTTTCCACTTGAGGAACCTCTTCCAACACAATTGAACTAACCTTAAAGACTTGATCATGATATCAAGTTTAAAGGATGATAAAGTCACCTCACCCTACAAATAATAGATGATATACAATCCTTCCTTCTCTTAAGACATAATATAAGAGATAGTCATCTCCTATTTTCTTCATGGTTGACAATCCTCTTTATTCTAGATGCACGTATCTTTGAATAAACAGCCAGCTCACCATGAGGTAATTCTTCAAAACATAAATCTTTGTTAGAAGTCCATCTTCCAGTCAACCCAATAATATACTTGGTAGATTCTTAATCAGGATTATTTTCTTAATTAAACCAAGAAATAGAAAACCCATACAATTTTTCTTGAGACAAGTAGGGCATTCTGCTCCACAAAGATCCAAGGTCTTCACACTCATATGAATGCTTTGAAATTTCATCCAATATCCTCAACCTTCATTAGAGACTAAGACACAAGTTCCTAAAAGTTGGAAACAAAAAGAATTCTCTTGTTGTTCTTCAATGGCTTGTCATGTCAAACCTCTTAAGTAGACACCAGAGTGTCTTCTTCTTGATCAGTCTCTCATCTAAACTGTTTTCTCCATAATACACTTAAATATGACTTTATGAGTTGAATTGAGAAATTCACAAGTATCTTTGGCCATAATAAAAGTGATACAAAGTGCTTACCAATTCCATATAGCATGAAGGATAATATCAGAGTAACAAAGAGCTAACTCAACATCTTCCCTTCTATCTCTTCAGCGCCAGGATTCTCCTATCCTGGCAATTCTTCAAGATCTGTTGTCCATTGATAACCACAATGCTCTCATTCCAGCCTTCCAAAAAGAACAGTAGTACCGGAAAAATACTCCCTAAAGCTCAACCAATAGATCAGGGTGCCTAATCTGATACCAATTGAAATTTTTGGTACAACCAACACATGTTAATACTGATATCCCATCATCAGAACAATGTCAAGACAGATGTTAGAACATATGTTGACAAACTTAACAGATTTATCAATCTATGATTAATACCAAATTAAATTACAGAATGATAAATTACATAGAGATATGTTAACTTAGTTCGGTGCAACATCCCCTACTATGGAGGATACCAATCCAGGAAGGAAATCTACTATTAGTAGTATCAATTCAAAGCCTAAATAGTCTCAGTTTACAACTTCTCACTTAATCTCCACCCAGTGCAACCTCTACCTAGAAATCACCATCTAGATATGAGAAATATTATCTCACTTCCTAATCACCTCAGTGATATCTAACAGTCTCAATACCAATGAGTGTATCAAGAATAACTCAAAAAGAAAATTACACTTCCAATACAAAAACTCAACTCTTTGCTTAAAAGCTTTAGAGTGATAACAATAACTTGACAAACTATCAAGTAACAACCAGTCTACCACATAGTATCAAAAGATACATGGGTGACTTACACCCATGCAATATACTCTTAAAACTTAAGACACTAAGCTTCCCCTAATTTACAAATTATGAAAAACTTAATTGAAAGAATTGATACATTAGTTTTAGCCCTTCTCTTTAAATACACCTCTGTATTCCATGGACTTCAAAATCTG